TGATCTTTTAACATACTTCAAACAAACCCGGCCCCCCCTTCTCCAAATAGATTTCATCCTCTACTCCATGGAAGGTCACTCGGTTATTTATCATTCCTCCCGCGGGAATCTGTGACGATGCTGGTGAACTTGAGGTACGAGAAAAAAAAAAAAAAACTCGCATGTGGAACAATCGCAAATTTACTATCATTCTTTGCATTATCTAGTGGCTTTGGGATGTCTAACATGGACTGGAAATGTACCTCGTTCATGATATCCACTCTAGAATCATACTATCCTGAAGTAAGTAGAAATATATATACAGAAATCTCAGATTAATCCAAACAAACGATAACTGATCAAGAGAAAAGCTGGGGTTGTAGACTTTGAATCATCAAATCATTCACAATGCGCCATGGATATTCCAAGGTCTCTGGAAGGCGATTTCGACGATGATTGACCGTAAACGCTTCTCTCTCTATCTCTCTAGCCTGACTCGATCCCCCCCAAAAAAGGCAGCGCCTAATGATCTGAAAGATGTTTGAAATGTAATGCAGCGGTTGTGCGCTCGAAGGTGTTATTTACGTCGAAGAATGAGGACCTGATCAAGCTGGTGGATAAGCGGAACCTGTTCAAGGCCGAAGGCGGGGACTCGGGGTTCGAGTGGAAGATCCCGGAGAACTATCCGGCAGATGGACTGGCTTCATCCGCCGCCAAGACGGGCCAGGATGGCCAGGAAGACCGGCATAAACTCCATCTCGATCTCTCTCCCGAGCAGGAACGCGCCAAGCTGAGCGAACTCCAAACCCGCGAGACACTCGTCGCCCGGTTCATCACCCTCACTCAGCTCTGGTTAAAGGCCTCTGACGAGGACCAAGACTCCCCCTCGGACCCTCAGAAACTCCTCAAGATCTTGGCGTTGAGGGATTTGGTTAAGCTTATCTTGCGAGCCCAGTATCTGAAAATGGTTGAGTTCTTCTTTGAAACCGAGTTCTCTAATCATTGGCTATCGTTCTGACCAAAAAAAAGAAAATGAATATGACTATGAAAAAAAAAAAAAAAAATAGATGCCGTTGATCATTCCCAAGACGATTTACCATTACCGAGGGATCCTGAAGACGGAAGCGCCCGGGCTGATAGATTTCGAAGCCTCTGGAGCCGACGGGAGTGTGAATGGAGGAAGCAGAGATCCGGAGCAACAGCCAGAACAGAACGGATCGCCGGAGACGCCTGTGATGATGGGCCAGGAGTCTGCCCGTCCCGGTCTCCTGAAGACCATCGAACGAGAAATCGCGCGCTTCCGGTCTACCTATCGAGCGTCCTCGTCTTCCTCTGATCCTGTCGTCGCTACTCCTGACGCCGCCGACCCGACTGAGAATCTCGACTCGGTCGACCCCATCGAGCGCATCTTTATCGAAGTCATCCGGCTCGATTTTTGACTCCCCCCCCCCTCCCCCCTCTTTTTTTTATATTCTTCTTCTTGGATTGATCAGCATTTTTTTTTATCTCTCTCTGATATCATATCATGTCACATTTGTTTTCCTGCTGGCATGCTTTTCTTACTGTTACATACCAATGGATCATTCTTGCTCTCATAAATCTATTGGTTGACTTGTCTTTGGTCATTAGGAAACAGTCACTCACTATCATTATCATTATCATTATCATTATTTCTTTGGCCCTCGAAGTTGTGTATTTGGGGGTTGCCCCCTTTTTGGTTTTACAAAAATCCATTGTTCTTGTTTCTGTTTTTTCTTTTTTCTTCTTGTTGATAATTATAATGATCAAAGCACCACGTCCAACCCATAATGTAGTCGTAGTCACTGACAGACCATCACAGGATTTGGGGGCCTCTTCTTTCACTCATACACATCCTTCATTCTTTTTGTTTAAAAACCAGATCTTGTGTGGGGTTGAAGGAGCTTATCAATGATTGCCATTGGGGTTTTGTTGATCTTTTCTCACGGGATGATGGGGTGGTTTCTGAATGCAGATTGAGTATGGAGACCAATTTCTTTGGACCAGCTTCATGAGCCAGATAATCCCCTTCTTCCTGTCTATCAATGAAATATCTCTTATCTATCTCACCAATACTCCCGTTTTTTTTTTTTTTGAAGGTTTCAGTGGACATCAAGTATTCAAAAATCTCACTGGATCCAAATTTAAGCAGTCCATAATTTGTTGTATGCTGTGCTCCACAAAAAAAAACGCTGATTTAAGTTCCTACTACTCATAGATATCATGGGTTCATGAAGATCCATCCTCATTCACTAATGGGTTTTGTGGGTCATGTGGGGAATTGTATTTACTCATGCCATCATGATTTTGTGGGGTAAGCCTGAGAGGAGCTTTTCCTATTACCCCATCTCAGAATGGGTCTACTAGCAATACATTTATGATCAACAAGTGACATTTGCCAGTGATTTGGTTTCTTTTTGTTTTCCTCCTTTTTTTTGGGGGGGGGGGGGGGTCAATCCATCTGACATTATTATGCAGTTCAGCCCCCACTTCAGAATCATATGGTGAAGTGATTTCCTGGGTCAAACTTGACTGCACAATTGATTAGCTACATCTTTGACTACCTTTGGCTTTGACGAGGACATACCTGGCTGTTGATGAATGAAAATGGCCAGAAAACAATCTGAGTTGTTCATAATGTTGGCTTCAACTTTGGGGCTGGATCATCAGCAGGTTTGAATTACTTAAAAACAGAGGTGAGTCTGGGAGGAAACAGGTCAAAAAAACCATGCATCTTGAGAGAAAGAAGTCCGTTTGATTAGCCCATGAAGGTGTGATTGTTGTTTCACTCCAAAAGACTCTTCCGAATTTCTCTGCTCACAAGGTGGGTTGCAGTCCCATTGAGTTACTTCGCTGCAGTATTCTTTTCTGAAAGCTGTCAGATGGATGGGAATCAAGCTGATGAGGACCTGCCTGCCACTCTCAGGTTGACTCCTGGGGAGATCTATGGGCATGATTGAAATTTGATCAGGGGCGGCCAGGTGATATTTTGGGGGATCTTCAGGGTGTTTGTTGATTTTTGCTGTTCCAAGTTTATGCGCTCGGCTCTAGCTAGTGCTGTGCACTTTTCACTGGCCCTGATTGGTCGGATGTTTTTGTCTTCTCAAACCAACTGCAACCACCCAACAAAACCAAACCAACTCATCAAAAAAAAAAAACAAACGAACAGTGTCAGTGACTTATCATCATCATCATCATCATCATGAGCTCTGATACTTCAGCGAACTAATACCATCAATCACTTCCCAAAGCAGGAAATGGATGCCAAATTAGCCTCCTCTCAACTACGCATCTACAAGCAGATGTGTCCATTCCTAGGGCGAACCTCACCACTCAGCTTGAGGAAGATGTCGACTCACTCAGTCATGGGCGTCACCCGACTCAGATTAAGAGCTCAAGCTTGTCCGGTCTTGGGCCCACTCTTGAGCTTAGATCCAAACCCCATCACTCAACTCAATAATCGACAACCCCATCATCGTCATTATGCTAAGCCTGCCAATATGGATATCGCCATCAAAAACATTTACAAGAAACCAATCCAATCTCAACAATGTCCTTCAGCTGCCAAGGATGATGACTATCATCATCATCTAATCAACAAACGAGATGATCACCACCATCATCATCCAAACCAAGAACTCTTCGATTACGAAAAGTTTTACAATAACGAATTGGAAAAGAAACACCAAGACAAGAGCTACAGATAGTTTCGTTCATTCCAGAGCTTACATCTCTCCATGGAAAAGGAAAAGAAATACTGATATCCATCTTTGGGGGAAACTTCTTCAGTTTCAATAACATCAATCGATTGGCTGCCAAGTTTCCGATCGCACATACGGCTGAACCGAAGGAAGAAGTCACCGTTTGGTGCAGCAATGATTATCTTGGAATGTCCAAGCATCCGTTGGTCTTAGAATCCATGAAGTACGAAAATCATCTTATTTCTGACATTCACCGATATCTTGACAAAGCAGGATCATTAATCCACTACTGCGGCTTTTTCGTGTCTTCCTCATCCAGAAACACTTTAACCAAGTATGGCGCTGGAGCTGGCGGGACTAGAAACATAGCAGGAAATGCAGCTCTTCATCTTTCCTTAGAGTCCACCCTGGCAGACCTTCATCGTAAAGAATCCGCGCTGGTGTTCAGCAGCTGTTATGTAGCCAATGATGCCACCTTAAGCACCTTGGGTTCCAAACTCCCAGGATGTGTGATCTTCTCGGACTCGTCTAATCATGCGTCGATGATCCAAGGGATCAAGCATTCACGAGCCGAAAAGGTGATCTTCCAACACAACGATCTAGTCGATTTAGAAGCCAAACTAGCCAGTTATCCTAAGGATCGTCCCAAGATCATTGCCTTCGAATCCGTCTATTCGATGTGTGGCTCCGTAGGCCCGATCGAAGCCATCTGCGATCTGGCGGAGAAGTATGGCGCTATCACTTTCTTGGATGAAGTCCATGCAATCGGTATGTATGGTCCTCGTGGTGCTGGCGTGGCTGAACATTGCGACTTTGAAGCCCAGGCCAAAGGCGGCAAGAAAGGCAGTGTGATGGGTGAGTTTTTTTTTTTCTAATACATTTCAAGTTGTTTCGAAAATCAACTTTTTCTTGCTGATTTTGTGATTACTTCCATAATACATTTTCAAGATCGAATCGATATCATTACTGCCACATTGGGGAAAGCCTATGGTGTGGTAGGAGGCTACATTGCAGGCTCGAGCTCATTAGTCGACATGGTCAGATCCTATGCACCCGGGTTCATCTTCACCACCTCTTTACCGCCTGCGATCGTCTCGGGTGCTTTGACTGCGGTGAAATATCAGATGAATAATCTCGATGATCGTCGTCTTCAACAATTAAATACGATCGAGTTGAAGGATAAGTTGGTCAATCAATTCGACCTTCCAGTCATGAATAATCCTAGCCACATCGTTCCCATCTTGATCGGCGATCCGGCTAAGGCTAAAATGGCTAGTGATTTGCTCTTGAGCAAACATAGTATTTATGTACAGTTGAGTCGTCAACTCTCCTTTTGCATTTTCAGACACATTTTTCAGCTTCTCTGAAAGCTGCTTTCATTCACCCAGGTCGATCAACTATCCGACTGTCCCGAAAGGGGAAGAGCGTTTGAGAATAACGCCTACGCCTGGACACACCGTCGAGCAACAAGCCAAATTGATCGAAGCATTGGATTCGATCTGGAAGGAATTAAATCTCAACCGAACCGAAGATTGGAAGAGACTGGGCGGTCGTGCGGGGGTGGGCGTGCCCGAGCCGACGGCCGGTAACCCACAACGAGAGGAACGAATCTGGAGCGATCAACAGTTGTGTTTGGTCGATGGCACCCATCCTATCCGCATCGGCCGTCATCAAGATGATCCTCACTTGGACCCCGCCAAAGATTATCGCCCGAACAACCAACAGAGCTATCTTCTCTCCCCTCAAGATCAAGGCCCCGCCTCTTTCGAGTCTGAGCTCAATTTCTCCCACACTTTGGATAGAGCCCCGGCTGCTAACTCGGTCCCGGTCCAAAACTCGTTCGCTAAAGATCAGCAAGCCGTTGTTTAACTTATCACCTTTCTATTTACTCCTCCGAGGTCACGTATTTTCTCTCTTATTATCAGTTCCAATCCCCACTCCTCAAGAAAAAAAACAAAAAACGGGTCACTCAATCGACAACTGAACCGGATATCGATTACGGATTATCTTGGTTATGTTGGCTTGTCGGCCGCCCAAACCAAGTCGCAACTTCCTCCTCCAAGATTTACGTCTTTGTCCCTAGTTTACTGCATATTTTTTTTGTTTGAATCCAGCAATCGTCCTCTCTCTTTTTATCACTTGAAAAATTAAAATTAAAGAAACCCTCCTAAGTTGGGTGTTATAAGTACTCAATCCCTAATCTACATTTTAAGTTGACAGAGATCTCACAATTCAGAAGAAGAATAATAAGAAGAATTGTTATTATTATTCAAGAACATGTCCATCCCCTTATAATTTGACACATCGCTTTTCAGAAATCAGCCAGAAGTACAATTATAAACCATGCCTTTCTCCTTTTTTTTGCAAAAAAACAGAGTAGTTCCTGATTCAACTAGATGTAATCCACACATTCTTTTGAAGATGTTTTACACCTTGGCCTAGGTGTCACGCCCCCTGCCGGTTCATTAAAGTCCTAGTGGGCGCTTTGGTCTCCATTGCTCTTCATACTTTGATTGTAATGGACCAGGTATTTTGCAAGTGCAGGGCTGCCAGGTCATACGGAGTAGTAGTAAGTAAAACAAAGACAGAAGCAGTTGTTCTTTGCTTGTTTATGTGCTCATCAACCTCTACAAGTTGTGTATCTCTTCTTCTACCTACATAGACGAGTCGTTGATCAGTATGTAGTAGGTCTGTTTTCAAAATTATCCGCAATCGTCTGGGCTTTCAACTTTGTGATGGATTCTTGTATGATCCTTATCTTGAGAGAAATGTCGAAAGAATTACGATTATCTGAGTCAAAAGGGAATGTTGGATTTTGATCATGGACTCAGAAGAACAACCCGGGCGTAACTTTTTTACTGGTACTTCCGTCCTCATGTTACAAACAGATGGCCTGTTCGTCGAAACACGCATCTGCCTCAACAGCGGGCCCTTGACAGATTTACCACTCGCGCTGGAAACCTAATTAGTAGGACTTGGGAGTCCAAGATCTCATCGGCCTTCCGGGCCGGGTTAATGTGCGCCTGCAACGATAGCGCTAGACCTGGCTCTCGTCCCGTGACTGCCAGAGAAACCTGGGTTTATTGACCGGCCATCGCGCCAGCCTACCTGGGATTTTACTTACTGCCCCGATGCCATGCCGTTGGGTTTGGTGGATGTGATCCGATTGCTATCTCCGCTGCAATGAGCTCATCCTCAAGCCTAATCACGTGGCATCCCATGTTCACCGGCTGGGGGAAGTAGTAATCGCTATGCCTAGCTCTTCAAAAAATATCGTTCATGATCAGCTGGGCACGAAACATTCTGTTGTTATCTT